GGTAAGAATCATATTTGTACATTTCAGAGCCTTATCTCTCAGATAAGCAGCAGGACTGGAGTGCTGTGATGGACAGATCTTTAAGGACAGGAGGGGAGGACAAAGAAGGGGATTTACACTCTATGCAAGGAAGAGGTTCAAATGTATGGCACTCCATTATGGAACAGGTGATGGGCCAGCCAAGAGCTTACGGGCAGGATCAGAGGAAAGAGCAACAAGGCATCTGCCAGATCATCTCACGGAGAAAAGGTAGTGGACAAAGCCTACTTTAAACAGCCCGAGGAAACTTCAAAATTATGGACCCTGTGTCTCATGAGGGGCTTTAATCAAACCTGATATCTGCTGGTAAGGCAACGAGCACCATTGCAAGAAATCCAAGAGATTTCTGGAGTGCTTTGGGGTCAATTTTTTTGAGGCAGGTGCTAGACTGGCCAGATGAGGAAAGTGCAGTGCTCAATCTGCTACTCAGGAATAAGGAAGAACTTGTCAGTGATGTGATAGCCTAAGGCAGCCTTGACTGCAGGGACCCTGAGAGGGTGGCTGAAGATCCCAAGAAAAGTGAGGAAGGAAAGCAGCAGAATAAAGAGTTCAGGAGAGCAGACTTTAGCCTGCTCAAGGAACCAGTAGATGGGATCCTATCACAGACTGCATTGAAGGACCAAGGGGCCAAGAGGCTGACTGATCTTCAATAACCCCCTCAAAGCAGATTACTGGTCTATTCTACCATGTAGAAAGTTGAGCAAGAGTGGCAGAAGGCTGGCATTTATAAAAGGCATATCCTAACCGAGCTCAAATGCAAAAAGGACAGCAGGAAGCAGGGATGGGCTACCTAGGAGGAAAATAGAGACATTGCTTACAGGGATGGAATTAGGAAAGCCAAAGCTCAGCTGTATTAGAAAATAGTTAGGGATGTGAAGGGCAGCAAGAAGGGTTTTATAGGTACATCAGCAGCAAAAGGAAGACCAAGGAAAATGTGAATCTATTGCTGAATGAAGTAGGAGATGTAAAGACAGAGGAAAGGAAAAAAGGCTCAGGTACTCATTTCCTTCTTTGCCTGGTCTTTAATGGCAAGGTCTGCTCTCAGGATTCCCAGATCTCTGTGTCTAGTGACAGACTTTGGTGAAAGAGGTAGTAGCAGGGTAGGAGGGCCAAATTTACTTAAGTAAACTGAACATACAGAAGTCCATGGGATTAGATAGGATGCTTCTGAGAATGCTGGGGTTTATCTGAAAGATGGCAATCAGAGGAGGTTCCCAATGACTAGCAAAAGGCAAATATCAGCCCATCTTTAAAAAGAACTAGCAATCCAAAGAACTGGCAATCAGGTGGATCAGTTCCTTACTTAATTTGCATTGGTTTTTTACAATCAGTTTCTTGATTTGCATGTGCTTGGAAATTTCTTCCAGGAGGATTTGTTGCACAGTCTTCCCAAGGACTGAGTTGAAGCAGACGAGCCTGCGGTTCCCTGGAGCCTCCCTCTAGTTCACAGAATCACATAACCTCAACTGTTCTGTTCCTCTAAGGAGCTGGTCAACCTGATTGCCTTCTGTGACAGCTTCTGTACATGAGAAGAGCACAATGGATATTATTTTTTCATCATCAAGTTTCTGACATTGTTTCCTATTGCAGCTTTGTAGCTCATCTGTAGAGATAGATACAGACTAGATGATGGACTACAAAGTGTTAAAAAAGACTGCACCGTTAGGCTGAAAAGTTAGTAACCAAAAGTTCAAAGTCCAGCTAGCACCCTCTATGCGTGATGTGTTTGGAGTCAGGACTGGGACCAATCCTGTTAAAGGTTTCATCAGTGACCTGAGCAATGGAATGAAATATATTGAAATGAAATGCTGTCATGTCACCGTACTGGGGTAAGGGCAGAGCTGCTGCTCAGCAGGACTTTGACAAGCTGAGGAAGCAGGCTGACAAAATCCTCATGAAGGCCAACAAATTAATCCCATGCAACAGCACAGGTTGTGAACAGACTGGCTAGGAAGCACTCTGCAGAAGAGGACTTGGGGGTCCTGATGGATAAGAAGCTGAACATGAACAAAGGTAGCAGTGTGGCATTGCAGTAGATGCACATTAACTGCATATTAGCCTGCATCAGCAAAAGCAGATCAAAGAAAGTGATTATTATTCCTTTACATAGCGCTCTTGATGCCCCCCTTGGAGTAACATTCAGTTTCAGAGCCCCTTGTACAACAGAGATGTTGTCAAACTAGAGAGAACGAGTCCAGAAGAGGAGTACTAAAACAGTTAGGGGACTGGAGCAAGGAGTGGCTGAGAGAGTCTAGTTTGTTCAGCCCAAAGGGGTTATGGGTGAACGTAATTGCTATTTTCAACTACCCAACAAGAGGATTACAGAGAAGACAGAGCAAAAGGCAAGTTGCTAAATGACAAGAGGCAATGGCCTGGTTGCAGCAAGGGAAATTCCACTTGTATATATAGAAAAAAATATTCACAATAAGAGTGTTGAACAGGCTGCTCAGAGAAGTTGTGGAACCTCTTCCTTGGAGATTTTCATATGTCCACTGGAGAACCTGATCAACCTCCTCAAACTTTTGAAGCTAGCCGTTGTTTGAGCAGGAGGTAGAACTTCAGAGGTGCTTTCCAGCCTGAATGATTCCATGAAATTCCATGATCGCCAATACAGTCTATGTGTGGTAAGGTATTTGCACACGACCATCTGAAAGGGAAATTTGAGATTTTCTTCTTGTCTATTCCTGAGTGCTTATAATCACTTTTTAATTATTTACTTACAGAGAGGCATGGAAAATCATTTTTTAAGAACGAATAAAATTATCTAAACCTTCCCTTAACGTGAGCAAATTCTGATAAGGTAGGGTACAGGAAATATTGTGTTCAGTGTGGAAGAACTTTCATGTTGGCCTCTCCAGTGTGTCTGTTGTTAAATCACTTGACATTTAGCTCAGTTCCCGCTTTGCTTCACTCTTAGCTCAGTTCGCGCTTTGCTTCACTCATGTGCAACAATATTTCCTTTACGTCACAGAGCTATTATAAGAATTAGGATATCAATTTCTAAAGTACACATCCAGAGCAATGACACCTTGCCATTATCTATCTTTCTTACTGAATTTATTTGAGATCACCTTATGATTACCAGGGTAGTATCAGTGGCTTTGAGTGGACAAAAATACATATCTTTCAGGTTGCTGAAGTTCAAAGGGTGTTAGGTGAATATGGGTCTTCTGAACTTATTCACTTTTCAGGATCCCCTGTTGTTTGGGTACTATATGCAGTATTTCATAAGGTGATTATGTTACATCTACTGGCACACTCAGTGGATCTTTAATACTAGTCATCTTTAAGAAGGACACACGTGGCAGTTAAGGTCTTCTATGTTCAAATAACACTGACTAGTGATTGTACAATATCTAATATAGGCTGTTTGTCAATCTATTGCCATTTGTGCCACGGTTAGTTATTTGACTATTTCTTGGCAGTTACATTTCTCAGGCTGGGCCTCTACAATACTACTGCTGCTAACTGAAAACAGCATTTATACAAATAGCTTATACTGCCTTTTTTTTTTTCAAAACGTTCAGTAGTGCAGCTTTTTCTTTCAGCTATTATGAGAGGCAAAAGCCCAAATGAGTAGGTTTTATAATGAAAATGCTACCCAGTGAGTCAGAGCTGCAACATCACAATACAATCAAGCAGAGCCAAAAACTCAGTAAGCTCATATGGAAAAAACACAGTGCTGAAAACATTTGTTACTTTAATGTTGAAAAGTAAAAAGCAATGATTTTTAAAAAGACCTTGATGGAGATTATGTTATATAATAAGCAGCAAAGTAAATCACTTTATGTTTTTATATTCACTCTATATAAAATAAACTTCCTGAAAACATTATCATTTCACATGCATATAATTTGTGGAAGAGAAATTCTAACAAATACCGTCAAGCTGCTTAAATAGATTGTTGCTCATTAAATGCTTGTTAGACTGGAACATCCAAGGAATTAACTGAACCCATACAGTACATCCCAAATTATATCTTCTATTAATATCTTTATCATAATGTTTTATAAAATATTATAAAATTGTATAAGCTTATGCAGCCTCTGTATCATTTCTTATAGATAGCGCTCCTTCACCAGTAAATGTAATAGACTTTTTTTTTGCTCTACCTTTCAAAATGCTACCAGCTTTACAGTTATTTCAAAAGATATTTGGACCAAAGTGCTGATATAAATCAGTTAGATGCAAACACCATTTGTATTAGTGACCTAATGCACTGAACGACAACTTGATTCTTTTTTGAAATATTGGAACAAACAATAAATAAGTGGTTATTAAAATTATGGCTGACTTTGGGAATCAGTAATACCTGACATTCTTCTGAGAAACCTATTCTCAAAGAACAGAAATAAATTCAGACACATATGCCATATACAACCTCCAAACTCCCATTGGTCATGGCTAATAAGCTGCCAGTCATAACAGAGGACAAAAGGTCGCTACACAATAGAGCAGCCAGTCACTAGTGCTTTCCCAGGAAATTTCATACAGCGTTGCTAGACAGACTTGTGGGAAAGAGGAGTGATGTTACAGTACAGGAAATATCAACATCAATATACACAGGCTGTTGGGCCTGAGGGCCCAGTCCTGAATCTACTCTACAAACAGGTATGTATTGACCAGCAGGATCCCAGCAGGTCAACAGCCAGCAGCCCGAACAGAAGAACTATTCAGCAGAACAGCTATTCAAAAGCAATTGCATTTTACTACTTTGCTCTAGTCTTCCTTTTCTTCTTTTGCCCAAATCATTTTGGAGTTCACAAGATATTTTCATTGGTGGATTTTGGTGTGTGAAGAGTCTTCTTACTTGTTACCCATTAAATTATAGTGTCAATCTGTTTACCGTGAAGCATTTGTAAGCAGAGATGTCCTTTAAGATGCAAGGATTATAGTGACAATTGCAGGGGATTTGATGGTTGCAAGGGAGTTCAGAGGAAGCAGGAGAGGAAATCTAGAAATGATGGAGACACAAATGTTTATTCAAACTCTGAACTATTTCTGTTACATAAAGCATGACAGGGAAAGCAAATTGTACTCATGCTGGAGCTGTGTTTTTCTGGAGCTGTAGTAATCTCAGGACATAAGCAGAATAAAATATGTAAGGAGAGGTATTATCTTGTACCAGCTGGTATAGTCTAGTTTTCTAACTATACCGTTTGATCTAACAAAAGATGTTATTGCTACCTACAAATGTTGTCACAGAAAACTAATTGATGAGGATGGGAAGATTTTCTTTAATAACCTCGTAAAAATTGTAATAAACTTCTAATCCAGCCAGCCAAAATCTTGCACGTGATCCACCATCAGAAGATCCAGAGATCACAATGTGCTTTACTTCCTTTCTTCTCATTCAACTGCTCTGGACAAAGACTTACTAATTGCTGTAGCGTTACTGCAGTGTCATCCTCTGCTGGTTCTCAGAGAGTGTACCCTTAAAGTTCAGTAATAGCAGAGATAGCACACCCTCTTGCAGTGGTTCCCAGTCTTTCTGGAGCCAGTCTCCCTCTTGGCCCCCCTTCTCTTTCTCTTCCTCCACCTCACCTTCCCACTACTGCTGTACCTTCTCCTCAGTCCTCCCTCCACCTTCAGACCCTTCCTGCCACATCCTCCCGTGTCCTCCCACCAGAATTTTCTCACTACCTCTTTTCACACGGAGGACTGCCAGTTCCTCACCAGAAGAGCTTCTCAGCTTGGACTCTGTGCTGTGCACCACTTCATCTCTAATGCTGGGAACCACTGTCCTAGCAGATCAAATGCTGGCTGGGAGTAAAAAGATGTTATTGCTACCTACAAATGTAGGTATACAAAGTGCATTTCAATCCTTTCACCCATTTAGCATAATCTGCCCCATACTTTTTCCAGGCTGCGAAGTAAATAAAGAACAAGCAACAAAAATTACAAACACTAGTATGTTTTGGAAGTTATCATCAGGAGGAGGAGGTGGAGGAGGAAGAAAAAAAGTGCTCAAATGTGACAATATATAGAAAATTCCTGGAGCAGTAAATTTAGAGGGGAGTAAAAAAAAAAGGTTAAGAATGACAGCCCACAGAGCCCTCATATTACTTGAGCAATCGCCTGCTACAACAGATGTGGTAAAGCTCTGCATGGACTTTAGCACTTGAGCTGCATTTGTTTCTCTAGCCTACAAAGGTCTGGAAATACTCTCACACACATAATTACAAATTGAATCAGAAAATTTAGGTCTCTAAAGAATCATTTTACTCATGTTCCCCTGAAAAAGTTCTCCAACTGGCTTCAATCACGTTAATTTTACTACTAAAGATAGGAGAATGAAACATCAGATGACTAGGAGAAAAAATATTTTGTTTGTCCATCAAAAAAATATAAGTCTGCCTATGACAACAACACCAAGTCACGCTGGTTGTTTTTCTACCTCCGGTTACCACCAGCCAGCAGCGTAAAGTGCTTATCTTGCTAGCTATTGTCCTGTTGGCATTATTACATCGTTGTGCCCTGAGGTCCAGATAATGGCCTATTTTCGGGAGGGCAGACCTCCAAGAAATCAAGGTCTTTGAAAGGGGAATTGGTGATATGCTATACTATTTTTATTCAAGACCTTTGTTCAAGCTACAGGACAGTTGGCTCCCTGTTGCCTTACGGGTGTGGCTGCCTGTAGTTGAACCCCTGAATCCAAACCAGTGGAAGGGGCAGAGAGCACAATCATTAAATCATGGAGATACATCTCACATATTCTGTCCCTTTATTATGACAGTATACTTCCCAGTATTTTTGTGAAGTTAGTTTAGTGTCCTAGAATATCCATTTAAAGAAAGGATTTACACACTACTGCGGGAATGGGAAAAGATCAGATTTGACAACACAACTTTTAAATAGAAACATTTACCATAGTTTTAAGTGTCAAATGATAGGCTAATCTTACCAGGCACTGTTAAAAGTTGCAATTGAAAGCTATGGAATACACATTACACATCCCATAACAATAATAGTAAGACTTGTGAAAGTTATTAATGTTGTCAGTTTAGCACATAAAAGACACATTGCTATGTATAAAACTAACAGCAAATTGAATTCAGGAATTCTTCAGGGATAAACTAGAAATCTGATGTTTTGTTTTAGCTGTCTCTAAAAAATGCCGTTCATGCTGGTTTAAGCAGCTACTAACATGGAACTTATTAAAAAGCTCCAGAACTGCTGAAACTGTCACCTTCATGGATCTCTTTTTCAGGTAGTCAGTTTGGAGTGTCTGACTTTCATCCTGCCTTTCCTCATTGCCTTATATAAGGTTATGTTCAAACTGGGGAAATTGAAAATTACTTCTAAGTCAAACAATGTCTGAAATCTACCCACAAATTGGTTCTCCCTATCCAATCTAAATTTCATAGCCCAGAGAATAATAGTGTCATTTTTGCACAAGTGATCAAAAGTTAGGAGGAGTTCATCCAGGAAGGGATGGTGATAAACCACATCAGCAGCCATAATGTAGTCAAAGTGACATGAAGAGCTAGGAAAGTTCTTTTCCAGATCAATTCCCCAAGACAATTCCTTAGCACAAGGCTGGTGCTTGCATTTCAACTTGGTATTTTTGAGAACATTGTGCTGAAGGTTTCCCAGTAGTTCTGGCAAATCAGTGGCAGTCACACGTGCACCTGTGACAGCGAGAAAACAAATGTAATCTTTGAATATACTTCAAGACTTGAGCAAAAGCTCACTTCCAAAAGCCATCCCACAGGGAACTGATTTTACCATGTAGGTCTCACTGAGGGGAACAGAACACTGAAAGCTCCCAGTAGCTCTTAGTCATTGTGCTTAAAATTATATTTGATTCCCAGATCAAGAATCATATTTAAAGATAGTGAAGTCTACATATTGCAATATAAAGGAAGCAGGGGGAGGCAAGGGAGATATCCAGTGCTTACTGCCCTGCTAGCACATTGGTTAAGAGTACTATGAGAGATTAGGGATCGAGGAATACTGACTCCAAAAAGTCAGCATGAGATTTAAGCATTGTTTCAGGCACCTTCCTTTTCACACGGCAAAAAGCTTTCTCAGACTACAGTGTGTTAAAATGCAGAAGTTACTGATTTGGATTACTCTTGAGAAAGAACAGGCTATCGTGAGAGAAAACAGAACAGATAGTAATTGATCCCTGAGTTTCCTGCTACAGGCACTACAAGAGAAAACGCTGAACACATGTGGAAAGGAAGCAACTTGGCACCCCAGAGCTATTGATCAATGGAATAAGAAGCTTTCCCTAAATCTGGCTTCTTCTAGTTGCCACTGACATTTTTTCAGGTCATTAGTTTCTTATTTTAATCTCCTGTTTAACACTTAACAGCAGTTTCATCTGCTGGAACCTCCTTTATTTCACCAATACATTCATAATTTTTCAGAGAAAATAACAGAACCAGCTTCCAAAGAAGCCTGTCAGAATTCACCTTTTCTCTTAACAGCTTTCAAGTAACTCCGTTTTAGAGGAACTGAGCCATTTCCTGTGTCATCCAGTATTCATCTCATACATGTTTCTAAGAGCATAAGAGCAACGATATGTACTCACCAAGTAGACTGGCTACTATGGAGACCAACCCAGTTCCAGCTCCAATTTCAATCACATTTTTGTCAACCAAATTGCAATGTTCAGAATTAGTTTCCAAAAAATAACACAGAACAAGAGCCTGTAGGGGAGGGAACCCATGAACATACTGAACAAACAAATGAAATAAAACCTCTAACTAAATAAGCATTGTCATTTATAAGCATGCAAAAAAAATTTTTTTTTTAATTCCCCATCTGTTCAAATGAGCAATATTAATTCAAACGCTGTCCTGAAAGGATCACAGCTCACTATGATCTTTGAGCTCTGTAGGTTGACAAAATAAATGCCATAACATGCCTAAATATATACTTGCAAAGCATTACAACCAGAAGGAACCCCTGCAATTATCTAATCTGTCACTCTGTGTAACATGAGCCAGAAAATTCCACTCAGCAATTCCTGCATATAGCTGCACTTACTTCTGGTTGAGTTCAAATGTGTCCTTCACAAAGACATCTTTATGTAAGAACTGCTTGTGCAAGAAAATCAGCTGCAACCCATGTTAATCTCTTTCAATAATTAATTATGTATAAGAACAGTTAATTATCGTAATGATTTAAAAGGGACCCACAGTTTTACCTCTTTATGTTCACTTCAGCTTGCTCATTTTCAGTTTCTGTATGCTTACCTTGGGAAGCGTTACAAACCTTTATAGCAAAGAGTCCTCTACAATTGTCTCCTTATGTATGCATTTATAAACTGTGATCAAGAAGCTTCTTAAGCTTTTCTGTCCTGTCTTAATATTGACCAGATGTCTGTCCACAGATTGGCATAGTCTGAATTCACTTTGAAATAGAAATTGCTACTTCCATTCCTCTTGAAATGATGGTTTCCAGCTTGCCCCCCATACTATTTCCAAGACTTAGTAAAACCCAAATGCCGGTTTGCATAGAAAATTATATAGTCTCCATTGACAAATATATATGATGGTTGCCACATCATCTTGAAATATGGATGACCACTTAGAAAGACAATTATCAGTGTCTCAGTTTGGAATAGCAAAGTTATACTTTTAACAGATTGAGAAAGAAATAGAGAGAAAGGAACAGAAGGGATGCTGATCCAATACACATTAGAAACTCAAAGTTTTTGCTTTCTGCCTCTCAGCTCAGAGTAGAAAGAGAAAGATCCTTTACATGAACTCACAGATATCTCCTACTCAACAAAGCTTTGATATATAAGTATACGAAGTACTTGGTATATTTCTACATCAAAGAAGTAGCTCTGTGAGCACCAGGACTAATTAAGGTCAGGTTTCTAAAGATTTGTATCTGGTGGTTGATTAACTTTTTAAACACATTGTACTAAGATTTTCTTTTAGTTCCATATATTCCTATGAGCTCTTCCCTCAGAGTCTTGCCATATTCAGCTGTAGAAACTGGCTAGCAGGATGAAAGTGCTATGAGTTAAATCACTGAAACTTTGAAAGCTGGTTTCCTTTCCATGAAACATGCAGAAACTTTATTTTCCTTCAGCTGCTGCCCTCTTGACAAATCTGGTTGACGTTTGTCAGACGGGTTCGAATACTGCCGCATGGAAAATACAAAAAGATACAGAGGGGTTGTCTTCTTTTCATAGTAAAACTGGCTAAATCCTTCCAGAGAAATTATGCTTTTCAGTACAGCCTATGACTTTGTGAGAACAACGGGCAACCATCCAACCTTTCCTTGAAGAAGTGCACTGAGCCTGCTAAGAGGTATAGATTAAATGATTTGCCCAGGTCAACTAAGAGGAGGAAAAGTGTTTGGAGCTCAAAGCAGGGAAATACGCTACTTCTCCTCAGTTTAGCGATGGCCATATTTCTTAACTGGCAAAACCCTGGGAAGCTAATACTACGGGAATAGAAACGGTCCTCTCCCTGTAGGAGCTCCTGGGGATCACTCCATTTCAGTGGTGTTCTCCAAATGCCATAAGCGTCAATGGTGCATCATGGCACATCCCTGACCACATCACTCACTCTCTTAAGAAACTGACTTAACACTCAATTAGCTGCATCACGGTACAGACTCAAAACCTTGAAAAAAGCTCTTCCTATGATGCATGTTAATTGTTCATATATCCAGAGCCATGAGTGATATTTCCGGATTACAAGGGTTCTGTACCACACAGATTGCTTGCTGTTTAAGGAATTGAAAGCTCCAGCTGAACCTTTCTCCATAACTGAGTATTTACATGGTGAATGTGTTTCTCACATGAGTAGGCTCAGTAGATTCTCTCTGGGGTAATAGCCGGTGAGATCACATCACAGCTATTTCCACAATCTGGATCTGCTTGTTATACAGACATCTGTATTTATAAAATGTACAGAAACGTAATCATCTTGAGACTGCCATCTTTCCTTTAAAATTTGTTTGCAATTGGATAATAAGATCAAAAGTTATTTGCAGCAGAAGAGGAGAATAGGGGAATAAACAAGAGATAATATCTAAGCTTTGAGAACTAGAAACCCACAGGAAACCAGGCTAAATACAGATTTGCGGTTTGTAGAGTGCAAACAGAGAAATCGTAGTATGTTATCTTTGGTCTTTACAACATCCAAAAAAATATATTTACCGTGCAAAATAAATTAAAAGGCGCTAGAAGACTCAGAAACTAAAAAATAATAATATTGCATAAATATTGTACCGATGGCCATACTACTGCCCCGTAAGAGTCAGTGGCTTCTGTAATTCTTATCTCATGTCCAGCAAAGTGAAAGCCTTCCCAGGTCTTGTGAGTTATAGCAGCAGGAAAAAAACGCCGTTTCATGATTTCTGCAACTATCAGTTCATCTTCTTTTTTCCCTGGAATTGAAAGCATAAAAGGTCAAACAACTTACAAAAACATAAAAGATGAGTGGGCTGATAATGAAACTACCAATTTGTACTAGAAAGCTGGTATGGAAGCAAGAATTTGAATTATGTCTGTGAATGAAAATGCATTTTACCATTAATGGTTACCGTGATATATGGGAAGTCTCCTGAATTCTAATTTAAGTTTTCAGTTTATGACTACATTAAAGTAATTTCTTTCCTGCTTTGCTGAAGAAGCCAAGTTCAGAAAAAGTAAAGAAAACAAGTGGCATGTTACCATATCTTGCTTTCCATTCCAGCAACTCAAAGGAAAATTTTTAAGCTCTCTTTCAGTTTGAGAGCAGCTGCCATACTATTCATTCTCATGGTCTTATGCTCTTGGAATTTTTTCCTATATCTTCTTTTTGTTCACTTTCCTCACATTATGTTTCTTTTTGATGGTAAACAAAGGAATTGCAATCTCATTTATAAATCAGACACAAAACTTGTGAAACAGACCCTAGCAATGCAAATTATGACAGACAGGACAGAAAGCGCTACTGTTGTTAGAAAAGCTTATCCACCCTCCCCAACAGAGCCTTGCAAAAGGGATTCTTTCCAGTTGGCTTGATATCCTGAATACCTTCCTTGTTGCTATGTGAAGGATATTTATGACGGTTAACATAATTCAAGATCATTTTTCTAAAGTAGAAGATTCGAAGATTCATTTATTTTTAGCTGAATACAAAGTCAGTTTCAGTGTTGCCATCATCACATAAAGCTGCACCACAATGTTGTGATGAAATAGATAAGTGAATCTCTCTAGAGCATTTTCTTAGCAAATTTTAGATTCATTCTAAGTTTTTATAGGAAATTTGCTTTCACAGCCAACTACAAGCTCTTGGCAAATTAGCTAAAACAAAACATGTTTACAAGCTACGTCCCCTAGAAAGCATACTAGAGATTTAGAGAACTGGGCTACCACCTTTTCCGAATAAGAGTTTCTATTTCAAGTCTGTAATTACCATTCAAATCACAGATATTAAGGTCTGCATATTACATAACATAGAAACTGCAGCCCCCGGTGCCTATAAATGAAAGCAAATGTTCTCTCATCAGCATAGAAACATTGGACTACCATCCTTTAGCAAATTCACATAAACCACAACGTAATTGGATGGTGACTGTTGGTACGACTGAAGATTCTGCACATTTTCTTCCCCCTGGAATTACTGTAGCCACAGGATATCATAGCCTCAATTGTTGTCATTCTCTCTGCCATATGCTTCAGCACTTCTATGTCATAACCTATTGAAAAAGTCCCTCTCCAGTTATAGAAGGGCACAGAACAAAAGCAGAGGTGAACAAAGAAAGAATGACAACAAACCAAAAAAGATCAGAAATATGCTCAGGCTCATCAGCCAGTGCTTGAAGCTTGTAATTCAACTCACTCAGAGCATCAGACAAAATTAGAGAATGACAACAAACACAGGGAAGAAAAATCAAAAATGTTTATGCTCAGTCTTAGCTCTATTGATTCAAAGATTGATCTGGAAGTTCAAAAAAATCCCAAATGCTAGCCATGGGACACAGTAAAATTAAAAATAATGTAACGCATATATTACTGTAAAGAAATATATAAGTAGCATAATTTTATAAAGTTAATGGAAAGGAAAGAAAAGAGTCTTAATACAGAAACTATGATATTTTAACATATTAGGAAATACCAGTATGTGGCCAGCCCACCACATCTTCTGCAACGCTCTAATGTTAAGTTGGGAAAAGCACATATTGTGCCTCTAAGCAGAAAACTCTGTGCAAACATGAGTTAAATGCCAGAGAAATGCTGCTCTAAGGCAAAATTCATTTTTTATTATCAAATAATTGATATGAAGATGCCTTATTACAAATAACCAAAGTGTATTTAATTTGTTATCCTGTTTCTAGGCATACTAGAGCTAGCCAGCTGTTAATATTTTCTGATTGCTTAGAGCAGTCTGATCTTGTTCTATGATCAGTACTAGCTGTGCAAGTAAAAAGCTCATTCTTTTATTACCTTCAATTACAACCATTTTTCCAGATTCTTCTTCCGTTCTGCTCTGATTCTCCTTCTGTCATCTGCTTCTGGTCTAACTGTCATTAAAAGCCCCAATTTATAAAGCTTCTGGCAAAATGCCTTTGCAAGTTTAGAAGTATTACAGCTACCTTTCTAGTGTTCAATATACTTTTCCCACCTATATTAGCAATTGTATTTCAACTCAACGATTGCATAGTACCTGCACTAAGATTTTGTAGGCCATAAAGAACACTTCTCCCCACTCTGGCTAAACTGTCCACAGCCCCGAAAGAAGAATGCCAAATCTACTGATTAATAACATCATTTAAATCTCTGGAACAACTAACCATCTTTTGTGAGTGCTTATCCACTAGCTATCTTATCCACTTGGTGATCCCACAGGCGGGTTATGTGGAGAACCTTTCAAAACAGTTCTTTTTTTCTCTTTCTTCCCCTTAAGAAGATCCTAATATTCTGTAGAATTAAGAAGAGCATTTGTTTCATCAGGGACATCACATAGCATGATGTCCCATGATGTCCCCTTCAAAACCATGATGAGAAATTACATCAACATGAAGAAGCTAATGATTCTGAAGAGTGCTGACAAAACGATGAGTGTAGATTTTGTAAGTCTCCCTACGTACCTCAAAAGACGCTCTTCTATTTTTTTCTTCATATCATTCAGAATAGCTAAACTCTTTCTGGGAAAGAAGTTATTTTTCGTTAACTGCATTCAGAGCAGTCAGAACAGAAAATAACAAACTAGCAGGAAATATTTCATGCAACAAGACAATCGTTATCAGAACAAACAAAATCCAACTGAGATGAAGTCTCTTTTAATACCTGCAAATGTTGTGAAAGTTCTGCTATTTCAAGTAAAACTCAAGTTTCTTGATAGCAGATTTTTAAATCTGATAGAAAGTTATTCTCCTGGAGGTATTTATCTGTGTGTTACAGTCCCTATTCTCCTGTTCAGGAAGATAACCTCTTGAAATTATGACTCAGTGACTGGATTTTAACAATTTTAATGATATTTTAAGATAGCAACAGCTGAGTCATCAGTGGAATAGGGGCGGACAAAGGAAGAAGACGACTGACTTGGATCTTAATTCTTGTAAGAATGGGAGTGCATTTGGGCCATTTCCAGTGATACTACTCAAGCACCTGTACTAAATTTGCAAAACTTTAGAGAACTAGAACTGGTTCCTCCCTTAATCATTTTCCTAAGTCTAATCAGGTAAGTTCTCCATAATTCTTTTTCTGCTGTGATTTGGAGAGGCATGGAAGTGGTATGCACATATAATTACCTTCTTCAGTCTATTTACCTCTTGGTGTAAGCAGGTGCACATAGAAATCACCGGAGCTTCAGGTGAAGAAACTTATTTAGATTAACGTGCAATGGTTTGAGCCTATTCAGTTAACATACAGAAACTGAAATAATTTTCCACTAGAGAAACAGATCGTGTTCCTCTGGCCTTGAATTTGTGTTCACACAGAAGTTTCCATCTATATATGTCCAAATCCTTCTCGAAATAGCATTTGAATTTAGGTAAGTTTCTTAAGACTTTCTGACTAATAGGCTAATGTCCTACAGTGTTCTTTGAAGTATTTCAGGTATCGCTTTCATCTTTTACCATGAGAGTCTAATGTCTTTGGAGCATGTTCTTTGAACTCTCTTGGTTCTCAGCTAACATCGAGAAAGTCATATACCGCTGACACGTAATCTTGCACTATATCAACCACATCATTATGAAAACAGCATAAACATCATTCTCAAAAGCACAGCAATCATAATTATTACAACTAAAACGTGAACACTGTTTTCCAAAGAGACATACTAAATCATGTGGAAGACTGGAGTTCTTAAGTTAGTGGCAGGTTAGTTATAAAAATATGTGGCAAGCTGTAGAATCTTGTATAGGGAACTAGAGGATTTTGCTCTTACATTTTAATGTCAAATTAAATGTTTTATATTAGCACAAAATCTGAAGAAAAAGCACTCAGCAGAGTTCTGCTGAGATGGAGTTGGAGAAGTCCTTCAGGTGGAGAAGGCAAGGGAGAAGGAAAATAACAGGAGACGGACCAAGTCAGAAAGTAACAAGCTGCTAATTAGAGCATCTTTAACAAAGAAGGAAATCATGAGAACAGCCCTTATATTGAGTTGGTTTGTATACTTTTCCTGGAACCAGTAGAAATACTAAGTGTTTAGAAATACGCTACATGATCAGCTGTTCTGTTTACGCTAATTGTCACATAACACCCACTTTGGTAGTATATAGCTCAGTCAGGAAGCAGCAACCCTAAAATTCAGTTGGGTATCTTCCATCAGTTATTAGCATATGTTAAATCTCTCTTACTCTATAATGAATGATACTCCCTACATTAATGAGCTCTTAATGGAGTAAAGAGGGAAGAAAGATGTACACTGTTAAACAGCACATAAAATGCAGGAAAAGCAATAAAGACAAGGAGTATGAATTAAGTTTCCAAAAAAATTGATAGCTTTGTTTAAATATCTAATTAGAATGTGACCACAAAAGGAAGTTAAATGACCCTTCCACATGGAAGCTATAAAGCCATCAATACTAGCCATCAATATCTCCATTTTGAGTCTCATTCATAATCAGCACATACAGTAACAAAACATCCTTTGACTACTTTGCTAATGGATCAGGACAGCATTAATTCAGAAGCCATAATCTCACCCAATAATTCACCAAAACAGTTTACAGGAAAAAAATCATAGAGTACTCTGTTCCAAGCGCTGACCTGATCCTACTTATTTTTTTAAGGTCAAATCGTGTCACAGCCCAAGCTGATAAGAGTGCACGCAAAGGAAATAAGATCCAACTGTCTTCTACTTCTATCCTACTCTGATGGATCTTTTCCAACTGGCAAAAGTAATGAAATTCAAACCTTCAGCATGAACTTGACCTGACAAAGTTCAGCCCTACAGCAACACATTCTCCCTTCAGAAGCAGTATACTCTCTCACCTGTAGAGTTTAGGCTTCAAATTTACCATTTAAGCCTGTACTTAAAAATATGGTAACCACCATGTACCTACAGTTGTGAAGATCTACTTGGTTCCTCTAAGACTTCTCAGCAACTATCTTTGTGAGTTTGATGAACAAGGAGGACTACCTGCACTGACGTACTGATTTGAATAATACATGAGATAAAGTACTAATAACTCACTGTCAATAGGCCTCTTCAGAACTCTCCAGTTTGGACACACAAAACTGGAGTCATCCAAAATAAAAATTCAAGACATAATTTACATATTTAGTCTGCAACTACTTAAACTTCAAAAATAAATTTCAAAAATAATAAAAAAGATAGTTATTTGTATCACCTCATCTGTAATTCTTTGGGTTGCACAATTCATAGAAATTCTCTTTTCAGCAGTGCCCAAATATGCAAGGTTAGTTTCTTTTCCAACACCAACCTCTACTGGGGTTGCAAGCATGGCCTCTCTATAGAAGCTTGGCAGCGTCATCCACCATTTATATTTGTTGCTATTAAGGAATCCCACAGAACTCCAAATTTCAGGGCAGCTCATAGTTCTTGCTCAGACTGCTTCTTTCAAAAAGCACAGTTACTGGTGGATGACTTAAACAGAGTAAGCCTTACCTTGAACGTGTTTTTCAGTGATTAAAAAAATCCTTTCAGGTAAGTTTGAAGTGGATCTCTTCAAACTTTCCATTTCACAAATACAGAGGCCCTAGTGTGGAAATACTTGTTTGGGAAGAAGGAGAGGAGCAAGAATACAAGTAATTTTCAACATTTTGTTTGAAAAACATTCTCCTACATTTTTTAAACACAGTAGTTCTTTCATCTAGTTAATGCAATTGTATTACTTACTGTCAATAATAGATCGAAATATTCAATCAATAATTTCACCTTTCTCCTAACTTCCTGTTCCAAATGGGCTGACAATGTGACTGACATGTGGGTGTTCTGCAGCAGGTGATTAGGTTTAATAAGGAAGTGTGAAAAGTAGGCAAGAAGCAATGACTTGAAGTACAGGCGTCTCAGTCGCTGTTAAAATTGTTTTCATTTGGTGATGTCATCTGTGAAGATTGTACTTCTGATCTTCACACAGGTGACAGAACCCACTTTTTTCAAAAAGGGCTAAAATCCTGTAAACAGAAAAGTCAAAGGATGAGCTATAAATAGAGACTTTCTCTTTCCAGAAGTGAATTTATTTTGGGAGAGCTGGTCAGCTGCCAAAAGAAGGTTGTAAGTCTATAAATTAAAAACAAACAAATGCCGTGTTCCTTTATAATATTTCTTCTCCTCTCTTTATCTTAGTTTCTATCTGTTGTGGCAAATAGACAATATTTTGGGTCAAGACAGCTATTTCATCATTACAATCACTGTTCTGGTTACAGTTTCCCAAAATTAAAGCTCACAAGAGATAAATAGCATTGGACCTGTGGGTTAAGTCTGGGGACATTCACCCACAAAATAAGTCATTAGTAAGAAATTCAGCAAATTCAATTCCAGCAGGACATCGTGAGGCCCAACTCCAAGACGAAAGCTGCAGAGAAGATCAGTACAGGAACAGATCTGCAGCTAGCTCTGTAACTGTAGGAGATGACCAGAGAAGAGTTTACATTGCTGCATTGATAAGTAATCCTCAAAAGGTAGTCCTGTGAATCCATCTGAGTGTTTCCAAAGGCTTAGAGGAATTCTACTCAATTCTGCATTAGACCTGAATGCTAAGGGACCCCGAAGCCTCATCATTTATACTGAGCTACTACTGTCTCGGGATCAGAGCCCCGGTTCTGAAAGCATTACAGATAATTCCATGGAAATATATGTAATACTGAATCACAGAATATTCCCCACATCTTGGGGAGCATCAGTTTAGTGTCTTCATTTCTCTCCACCCATTTGTCCTTATCACAGCCTAAGGACCCTTAAAGGAAGGGGATAGGAGGGAACTTTAGCCATGCCCTTGACTTTCCAGAAGTCAGAGGTAACCTACACTTTTCTAAGAACATAAAGCAAAGTGCTGTTCCAGAAAACTCACTTACCTAAACTAAATGGTTAATTTCCACTGGTTTCATTCTTACCTACAAAGGGAGAAATGATCATGTAAGATTCTAGCACATTCATTCCAAGCTAAACCTGATGAAGTGATGGCAATGGCAAGGTATATTACATCGATTAATCTGAGATACTACGTCAGTGTAATATAATGCTTGAAACTTCATACTTTGAAACGCAGAAAGATAGAACTGTGGCACCCATGGACAGCACATCTCAGCCAAGAGACAAATTGCACTTAGCAATTTGAGTATGAGTACATAAGAACAGGAGCGAGGATATGCTCACAGTGAACAACATATTGGTTTATCCAGGTTTTAAAGGTGCATTTTCAATTTGAAATTCACATCATTCTCTTCCCAGCCCCATCCAAATCACTGGTCATACAAAACCATTAGAAGCCTGAAAATAAAAGCATTGTACTCAGACTATCTCAGGAGCGCAATCAATCCAAATGAGGCAAGTACTTCCCTACTTAATCATATTTTTCTGTTGTGGAAAACAGCTGCAGGTCTAGGATCAGCAGCAATTTTATTGTTAAAGAAAAGTAAATAACTTCTCTTTTGACTACAAAAGCAGGCTGCATTTTTAAGTTCGATGGTCTAAAGTCTAAAAGGCTGATAACTAATTTTTTGACGGATAGGAAGCATCTGGATGCATAACTTAGACACTGTAAGCCATGTTTAGTCTAAACTTCCACCCCTCTTACCTTGCGTGGTCAAGGTGACTTTGCACACTTGAAGGTTCCTACTTGCTTATAATCATATACCAGGACACTCTAGGTACCATGGCAAACAGAACAGGAGGAACTCCAAAAATGCCTACCAATTTTCCCCTATCAATAATTTTGTACTTCTAAAACTTTTCTTTGAGGAAAGAATCAGAAAGTAATCTAACAACATCAGTCCATGAGAACATGCCACTTTTTCTTGTGGCAGTTGAGAAATATTTCATTTATTGTTGAAATGCATCCACTGCAGTGGAGAAACCAAAGGCAAGAGGAAAGGGGAAAGATGTTAAAACAGAAAAGATAGACACATGGCTGAAAGGGAGGAACATACTACAGACTTCCCTATAAAATTAATCCATGCTATGATTACTGGAGCATTGCCTCCAACTTCTGTTCTATCCATACACAAGAAATATTCTTTCAAGTTTAGTAATGCCTTCAGCAAAAGTGGGTTTACTTGTTGCGAGGAGAGAAAAGGAGCAGTGCAATGCTAGTTTTAAGTACCACAGCTACACTATTCTGAATGCTGCCACTTTCAAATAAAAGAACTTGGAGATGAGTTACTATAAGATAGCCAACGTATGAATTCAGAGAGCAGGTATTTTTAAGAGTATTCTGATTTGCTGTGAAGGTGTAATTTAGTTCTAGTCAATCACACAGTGGGTTGTACACAAGTCCTATTCCACGTTAGCTCTTTTAGTCTTTTTCCATTTGAAAACAGCTTGTCACATAAGAATAGAATTTGAGTTCCAGTGTTTCAGGTGAATCCTGTAGTGAAGACAAAAATGTAGGTAACTAAGGCAAACATACTGCTTTTAAGAGGTTTTTATTATTTAATGCTTTTGAGACAAGAATTAATGCAATAGATTTCTTTCTTAAAGATAGAAACATAATTCAAGGCTAAGAGACAGGAAAAGAGGAAAGAAGGGTGGTGGGAAGATATAGCAAAACAGTTATTTATGCACAGCATAAAGAGATTCCTTTTTTACCAGCACTGTTAATAGCAAAGTCCACTGTTTAGAGAATGGTTCAGCATTTTAAGCATTCATTCAGAAAATGGAGAAATTGGGTTCTAGGCCTTACTCAGAGTGATTCAAATTCACAACTCTCACATCTTAGGGGTGGTTCTAGCCACCCTACAGAATCACGTAATCAAGTGTAGCTCCTCTCTTCCACCATCATTACAGGTGGGCCATAAAGAAATCAAGAAAAGCCAGCGAGCAAGGAAAAGCCCAACTATGAACTGGGCACTCGGTTGGAAAGAAGTAATCTTGGTCTCTAGTTTCTGGTCTCAGGATGTTTTTTATATTTTATATCATACAGTCTTTGAGGTCAATAGAAAAGGGTCAGTGGGAACGGGGGGGAAATAATACAAGTCTTTAGAAGTAACCCAGGAAATGAGAACAAGACAGTAACTCACTCTGTCTTCCCAGCTGCTTATCTTATCTTCTAAGTCAGGGATAGGCTGCTTCTCACTTGCCTCAGTTCCAACTCTGTCCCATTTAAGGCATCTTTCTGGACTTCACCCAGAGACTTGAAATTATGGGAGTAACTGCCATCAACGAGGACATCTGTCAAGCAGGAGGAGAAGCGTGTCCCTTATAAAATGCTGGATGATATGTGAAGGTTACCAGGTCAGCATTTTCTCAGATATTTATGGATTAAAAACTGGGTCCTGGCCAAGTGAAGTGAGACACTGAAGTGCCAAGGACAAGTACATTTTGCAAACATGCTCTCCTCCTCTTGTCTCAGAGATAAAATTATTCTGAGGCGAATCCAAATAAGGCAAAGAAATTCAGTATCCTAAGAAACGAAGAAGGGAGTGGTAGAGTCTGAGCTCAGAAAAGTTTAGCCAAAGAGAGCAAAAATGAGTGATCAAGAGAAGTTATGAGAGGAAAGAGAAGCGACATCTACTGATGCAGGCCTGATGGAGAACTGACAGGATAAAGACATCAGGAAAGACCAGACTGAGTGAGGAGCTACCTATAAATTGGGAACTAAGAAGTTCTAGATTGATAAAACAGAAGATGGCTGAGAAGGAAAATGAACACAGTGAATATAAGGAGCTCGGAGCAGAACTTGCTGAGAAACTGAGCTGGAATAAGAATCCTGAGAAACAGAGATTGAGACTGGATAGGTAAATTTAATGAAATGGGGAACAGGGTAGAGGGAAAAGGGTAAAAATAAGGGAGGTGCAGGCAAAGGGGGTAGACCAGGTAAGTCTGTGCAGAAGGTTCAATGCCCTTCCCTCCAGAACTTGGCATGGAATTTAATAGCCCAAAGCCTGGTGTCAGATGAAACTGTGAAACTGTCAATATATCCCATTTTTCATTTATATCGCCTCACCCTCTTAAACTGGTGTTGTGAGACACAGAAAGGAACAACCTGCTATAGCTAACAGAGTAACCGCATTGATAGCAAAGTGGCATATATTTTACAGAATCATAAAATAGTTGTGATTCTGTGACCTCCAGAGATCCTCTAGTCCAACTCCCCTGCTCAAGTAGGGTCAGCTAGAACAGGTTTGCTCAGGGCTGTAACCAGCCAAGTTTTGAGTATCTCCAAGGACAGGGGCCTCCACAGTCTGTCTGGACAACCTATTCAACTGTTCCGCCACCCTCACAGTAAAAAAGTGTTTTATTATGTTCAGATGGAATTTCCTATGTTTAAATTTGTACTCATTGCCTCTTGTCCTGTCACTAGGCACCACTGGAAAGAGTCTGGCTTGTCTTCTTCACTCCCATCAGATATTTATAAACATTGGTAAGATCCACCCCCCTGCCCAGAGCCTTCTCCAGGCTGTACAGCCCCAGCTCTCTCCGCCTCTCCTCATATGAGAGATGCTCCAGCCCCTTCATCATCTTTGTGGCCTTTCACTGGAGTCTCTCCAGTAAGTCCATCTCTCTTTTGTACTGGAGAGCCCAGAACTGGACACAGATCTCCAGATATGGCCTTTCAGTGCTGAGTAGAGGGGAAGGATCACCTCCTTCAACCTGCTTGCAACTACAGCTGATCTAAAAAAATGCTGCCCTGCTGACTAATTTAGCATACATTGACGTAATATCCTAGAATTCAATTTATTCCTAATTCCAAAGCTTAAGAATTTACAGGCGGACTCTTCCGTGCCCCAAATCCTGCATGAAGAAAGCATCAATATTAGAAAGATAAGCCTGCAGAAGCATAGAAATGCCTGCACAACTTTAACTCAGTCCTCTTGTGTACAATAGAATACATAAATAATTAATATTTCAGCTGTTAGTAGTTTTATCTTTAATATTTCTACTTCTGGATATTTCTTCTCCTCACAATCATGTCTCATTTATAGCACAGAATCAACTTCAGCTCTTCGTTCAAGTCAGAATTACATGATAGGAAAGGGAATGGCATTAATTAAAATCTTCAGATTAAGGCATTTAAATAGTGCTTTGTGGAACTGCAATCTATACCAATCCCTATCAGCCGTCTTCTTGTGCAATATCAGCTTTCCAGAGATGGTCATCAATTGTGTGTACTTAATTTTTGTAGGACTCCTACTGTGAAAAATACGAAGACTCGCGAAAAAGCAAACAAAACATCCTCCAAAATACAACTGAAATTTTCTGGAAGAACTTGTTTTTCTCTCTCCTCCCCCAACTTTATCAGGTGTGATACATATTGCTTTTAAATTTTTTTGTACGTGAAGTAGCTGTTCTGAGAAAACTAGTATTTTAGAGTAATTTTTTAAATTGTATCTCAGTCATTCAACTCTCTTCCACTATTATCAAACTTTTTGAAGCGAAATTATTTCAAAACTTACAACGCTAGACACTTACAATTCCTAAATACAGGGGGCTTATGCACAGTATATATATTACATGTAAGTTTACCTCCCCAAGACCAACATTACAATGATTCCAAATAAGGAAGATTCTCCACATTTTTTTCTTTAGAAGCATGATTTTTGTCTTTATTTACATTATAATCTCAGGCCTCTGATTACATACTACTACTATAAAATTTACTTTCCTTTTTGGTTACAAATCAAAAATATCAATGTTTTCTTTTTTTTTAAACTTAATCCCCACCCCTACCCTCATCCCGTTTTACAGATACTTTAAGAATCAGGGAACATGGAAATCTCTTAATACACAATGTTCTATTTCATTCTATTCAGTTCAATTCTATCCATTATTTAACAGTTACTATTCAAAAGAAAAGATGTTTTTCCAAGAAAAATTCTGCTACGTATGTTTAGATGTGCTACTGCATAGAATACATACGTCACTCAAAAAAAAAAAAAAGGTAAATAAAGTTTCAGTGAGCAAATAACTACTGTAATTATTGCAGTCATCCTCAAAACTCTTATCTTCTCCAGTGGGGGGAAAAAAATCCTTTTCTAAGGATTCCACACTGTCAGAAAATGTAGATCTCTTCCTTAATATTTGAGACCAAAGAGCAAATATAAGTCACCCACAGGCCAAGAGCACGCAGCTGAAAGAGGGAGAGCAAGCAGTCTATACCATCTCTGTCAAAGGCACTCAGGGCCACCTTGCATTGCTAAGCAAGTGGTGATGTAAAACCAGTCCAGAGCTCTCTCAAAATGCAGAACCTCAAAAGCCAGGGGCCAAAATGGACCACGAATCAGCTCAGATTTTAAACAAAAAAATATGAAATAATAAAAAAAAAAAAAAAGCGTGGAAAACTTCCTTCATATTTAGCTGTAGAACATAACTAAAGCCCACCTCAGAACAATACACATAACTTGCCCTAAAACTTGGTTGCCCCTAAAAACTGAGATTACTCCTGATGCATCTTGAAAGATGGGCAGCCGAGACGGACTCACTTAAGAGAAAAAGCTGCTAACAGTTGTTGATGACAGTATTTGAGAATTAGGTTTGAGGTTTGTCTAGACAGAAACCGAGCTTGTAATAACTGATTTTTGTCCAGCTGACACCCCACACAGAAAACTCTTCTGAATAGCTTGATCATAGTCACAGCTTCATTCCTTGGAACCAGTCATGGGCAAATAGCCGGAGGCAAGATGCCAAAGACTGGTAGGAAACTGCTGGGACCAAAGTATGCTGGCATAGCAGAAATTTGCTACGTAGCTAGAATACTACAACAGCGCTATCTATTGCATTTTCTGTATAAATGCCATAAACACAATTCCTCAGGAAAAATGAGGAGACAGCTCATGGTCAGTAAGGCACCTTTGTTCCTTCTATTTAATAATTTTCTGAAGTGTAACAAAAAATATGGTGGGTAATAAACTCTTTACCTTCTTGGCCTTCTAGTTTCCTTATCAGTTCTTTATGCAGACGATTATGTTGTGATGACGTCAAATCCATACTGTGCCACAGAACACTGGAGAGAAGCACAAGCCTGCCTACCTGGTAAAATGATCAAAATGACTTTATTTCTATTTTTCCTCACATAATACTTCACCAAAAAAAATTAAAAAGTAATTTTTACATTCATTATGCTATAATTTATTCATATTACTAATAAATAATGAGAGACCTAGAGACACACAAAAATCACTCAGTATTCAGAGCCCTAAGCCTCAAACTGCATAAGAAAATCTCAAGCCAGTTTAACTATTCTACTCCCCAAGAGGAAAAAAAATGATTAAAAAAAAAAAACCTTTTAATAACTGTTTAAAACTATTTTATGACATTTTGAAATTCTGAAAGTAGAACTAATTCAAATGAAGGTTGGTAGATTTATAACTGATTGAAAGGGAAGGTACCAACAAATGTCCAGAGAAGAAAACTTACACCAAAAGGCTCTAATACTATTTGAATTAATTAGCTTGGAAAGGCTGAGGTAAAGGAAACCTGCATAGGTCACCATTATCTTCTAAATTTTCTGATCCTCGTCTTCCTTTTACATCCTTATTTACGTGATTCTTGAGAAACTTTCCTAACAACTGAAAAGTCTGTTGCCTAGTAACTTCTGGACCAAAGTAACTAGTATTCTTTAATACTTCATGAAGCTAGTCTACTGCTTCTGATGCAGTAAAACAACTTCCATTTTCCTGAAATGTTGCCTGTGTTCCCTTAATGGCATCTCTGTGTGGAAATGTTCCTCAAAAAGGAAGGAAACAACCTATTAGTAAAATTTGCACATCAGATTCAGTAGGAAGTACGAATTACAGACATCACGTAGAACACAGAAGGTGCATGTGTCTGTATAAATAGACTCAGAACATGCATATTCAGTAGAAAAAAGTAATGCAGAAAGAATGATAGAGCACAAAATTTATACAATAACTTGCAGTGCAATATCATAGCAAAAAAGAACAGTGCAATTTTCACTTCTCTGTAGAAAAGTAGGTAGATAATCAGTGGTCTCAAGTTCTTGACATTTTACAACCAGAAAAACACTGAGGTTGCAGAATAACAAAAATTATCAGTGCTCTGATAATAATATTCTTACACTTTTATTCAGAAATTTGAATGATTTCTGCAAGAATGGTTATAGGCAGCATACACTTAATAGTTTATAGATATCTAAACACCCAAGGGGAATGCAATTAAATAAGGCAATGGATAGAGAAGGAAAAAAAGCAATAAAAATAAAAACATAGGCTGAATACCACAAAAAAATGCCTCACAGTGCAAAGCCTTAGACAGAATTATCTCTCAAGACCCAAGGATGAAAACCGCATAGTACAGAACAATCCTGACTTGTTACAGAGGGAATCTACTCTCTTTGACTTTGTCCTACACATACAGGTTTAACCTTATCACCATAGTGCCAGCACAGCGCTATGAAGATGAAGAATGGGTATTTGAGGATGAAAAATAGCTTAGTGGGCTTCTACACATTATCATAATACATATAAAATAAAAATAATGCTACTGTATTTATGTCTTTCTATGAACTTACCAATAGTAACACTATTACGTGGGGAACAGAAAAGATAGATTCAATGGAATGTAAAATCTTTGTATCTATCTTCAGAATACCAAGTAGCATTATAAACTACTGGATATGAAGCAGTAAATGTTAAATACATTCATCGGCTTGTCATCTACCTCAGAAGTGCAAAAAAGAAAATTTTCTTCTGATTAGAAGATAAAGATAGTGGCTTATGGAATAATCACTTCCTTTGCATTGTGAAGAAGAGACAATGTTGCACTATAAAATCACTCTGAAGGGAAAAACCTTTACATATTCCCCCTAAACATTTTTTCCTGCTAAAAATACCCTATGAGGTACACTGAACTACACAACAACCTGTCTGACTTTAAAATAGTAATTCAGTAATACTACAAGTAACTAAAAACATAATGCAGAACAGTTCGGTTACTAACTTACACTCTTTAAAATAAAGGATGCAAAGTAATTCAGATTAAAAGAATAAACTTTGAAAACATAGGCAATTAAAATACTTTGGCAACTCACATCTACTGTATTTCCGTTAACATTACCTGAAGCTCTTCTTTTAGCTTTCCAAAAGTTATATTCAAAATCCTTATTTGCTAGCTCCTTTTCCCCCAGTTAGCTCCCAAGCAGTCCCAGGCAGAAAAGCTCTGAAGCGTGTATCATATATTGCCAACATCTCCCCAGCAGAAGGAAAATAAATCTTGACAGCTGCAGCGTGAACACAAATTAGATACAACATACCATATCTCCCAGAGAAACCAATACCCTTACATAAGGGAACAGAAGATTTCAAAATGGCAGTAGGTAGCTAGTCAAGAGAGCTCCAATCAGTAAAGTAACCAATTTTGGAGTATTTTCCACAAAAATAAGGTACCTGCAAAGTTTTAGTAACTTCTTATTGTTATTAAAAAGTAACCGAACAGCACCAAAAAAAAAAAAATTATTCAGAGACAAAGGGATTCTTCCTTTGCACAAAGGGCCAATACAAAACAGCAGGGGCGTATCTGTGACAAGGATATGTACACGTTTGCTCACTTTAGAATGCAAAACCTTGAAGAGGTACAATATCCAAACAAATTCCAGTCAACTTCACAGTCTAGCATTAAATTCATGAAACAGCTGTCAACATACATATAAATACACACACAGCACTCCTCTTTTCTATATCCAAGATGTATACTCTCTCCACAGCTCCCAATCAATTATTGCTATAGGAACAAAACACAGGTATTTGTAAGACTTCCTTTAGATTGTAATCTATCCAGGACAGGAGCCATCTCTTTTTTCATAATTTTTTTTTTTTTTAAGCAAAATAGCACACCAATCTCAGCTGGGGTTTCTGCATGCCATTGAAAGGTAATGAATTAATGCACAAGAATGCTAAACAAGCCTTACAAAGAAATGAAGGTCTCTGTACTTAGCAAAAGAAATTAGTAGCTCTTTACACTTAGAAGCTATCTAACAAATCAATGAGAGCTGATCTACATTCTAGAGGCAATTTCAGTAAATGCTAAAGATCTGCAAAACTCTGCTGTAAACCGGCTGTCCGGACTGAGAATATCCTTCAAATACATTTATCTTTTATAAAGGTACCATTAAAGGGATATGTTATGCTCAATAAACATAGTACATGAAATATTAGACTCTCTGAAAGGCCAAACCTATCCAGTTCACCTCAGTCCTTCATCCTTACAGGTGAGGCTAACTAATGTTTTATACAACACTGATTGTGTGGATTTGGACTTACAGACAATGAAATCACGTAAAAGGAAATAAAAAAAACATTGAAAAACCACAAAGGATGACTAAAATTTGATGTAAGAACATTCAACTTTTTCCATCTTAATCCACAGAAGCTATAAATAATTTTTGCAAGTATTTAAATAGATGGGAGGAGGGTGGTCTGAGCTAACAAATTGTTTCTCTCACAAATTAATCTGACATAAATACTGCAACCAGTGGATCACGAAGGAACCAGGAAGCAACAGAATGCATGTGATTTTTTTTTTATTTTACTTCAGTTAGAGGACAAATGAATGCAAGTCACTTTCTGGCTGAATTTTATCATCTCAAAACAGAAGACTACCAAGTCCAGTCTAGGCCTTTTTGAGTACAATTGCTCTAAAAACATTTTTTCATTGTTTAAAATCCCTCCTACATAAATTCTGGACACAAAGGCAATGCAAGACGAATACACGATGAATAGAGGTAATTTATTGTTTTTCTCTCAGAAAATTCATTAGAATATTTACAAAGTTTAGGTCATAAAATTCACCCCCCCCACCACAGTTTATTTAAGACTTTATTTTTTTAAGACTTTTTCTTTTTTCTTCCTCTCTTACTCTGTGATTTACGCTTTTTGCCCTCAAATACAGGTTTGGCAGTCACCATGACTAGGTTTCCCACTTCATCTTCATCACTTGAGCTGCTGTATCCCTTTTTCTCATTATGGTTTGCTGTTTCAATTTGAGACACAGTTTTCCTCCTTTTGCTCTTGTCTAAATCTCTGCTTTCCAGTTCCTCTACTGAGGAGTCACTAGAGTTTTCTGAAAGATGCAAATTCCCAATAAAACCACCTCCATATAAAGGTTCTCTTTTGGAATCTAAACTTTTCTTTCTCTTTATTTGTGTTGTCATTTGATGATCTGCAGTACTTTTCCCTTTCCTTTCCTCATGCTGCTTAAGTTCATCCTCCATAACTGCAGTAGCCTCCTGAATTTCATTGGCTTCTTCCTCTTTTTCTTTTCTCTTCAGACAAGTCACAGCTCGGCGAAGTCTCTGGCTCTTAATGGCTTGTTTTTCACGTTGTGCTAGTCTGAAGAACGAATCAATTCGAAGCTGAGTCTATAAAAAATAAAACAATGAAACAGTTTAGGATTTTCTTGTGATAGGAAGTCAATAGTTATCTAAGCTATATTATACAGTAGCCTAAATTAAGCAGAAGAAAGATTAATGAAAATAATATGTATCTAAATAGATGTGGAGTATAAGACGCATTAATCATAGTTATATGATATATATATTTATATCATATAAATTATGCAACAAGTTTTACTTTCTCTAAAGCAAGAACCTTTACACTGCTCTTTAAAGAAACTAGGTAATGGGTGAACACCTGTGAAAAATTAAAAATTTTGTGTTGTGCTCATGATTAGGCATAGGTTGCTATTTTCAAACTTAAAGCAGAGGTCTTAAGAGTGCTCTTATGTGCTCATAAACACATCCTCAGCTGCAAGCTGCTAGAATGGAGAGTTACTAAGCAAATGCTGTATGTGCACCTCGTATTTTGCACAGGCCAGTGTAATAAAATGCTATAATTTGACCCAAGTGCCTTGTAACACAGGCTACTACAGTATAAAGATTAACAGTAGAACCCAAAGTAGTCACACACAATGAGATCTGTTTTATTCAACTTCAGCCAAACCCAGACTAAGCCAGTCTTCTGGCTTCTCCCAAAAATTGGCTGTGACACACACTTGCAAAGGATGTTCCAGTCATACTGAAAGTATATAGATTCAACTACAGTTTTTGTGGTACTTTTCACTCCTTTTACTAATAGGGAGGACCTAGAAGACTGGTTTTAGACAACATATCTATCTTGCTGATAGCAAAAGAAGAAAAGAATCTGATCTTGGCTCATCAGTTTTACAGCTGACTTTCCTAGTGTCACTGCATGCATCATTATTCACTTTTAAATTGTGTTAAAAGTTGACAGCGCATTTACTTATAAAATGGAATAGTATTATAAATGGATGCTTGATCAACAGCAATAGCTCAGTCTGCATTTCTCCCCAAAGGTCACGGGTGGTACTCAACGGTCAGCCTGACTTCACCAAAATCTTAGGGATGTTTTTATAAATCATTTTAAAATATAAGGCACTGTCTTTTAAAAGCATTAAAGGTGCTTCAGGTACGTGTAGCAATCAGCAGCATGCAGAACAAACAGCAGTCTGGACTTTAGATAGAGGCTTGACAGATAACAAGATTTTAAAGCAACTAAATGTAATTTCAAAGGTTGTAAATGCAAGAGTGCCTCACACTCAAATTGAACAACAACAAAATCTACACAATTGAGAGTTTAGTGACTTTAAAAAATATATTAAAATTAAAAATACGGCTAAATGCCAGGATATTTTACAAACAGTATGGGCTATCTGAATCATGCAAGCATACATTACAGTAAGTTTCACCCAAGTTAGTTAAGCATCACTTTAGATTAAAGTCTCATTGTTCATTTTAAAAAGTTGCTGTTACAGTTTTCTGGTTAGCCTTAAACTATACACAGGTTCTATACTTTACCTGTTGCGAGTTCAGCTGTTTTAGCACAGGCAAAAGGACTTCATCTATCTTTGTCCTAGTCCAACCAAAGTGATCCTGACAGAATGTATAAAAAGTTAAGGATCTTTAAAAAAAAAAAAAAAACAATTGCCAGTATTCTATAAACACACAAAATGAAAATTCCTCAAATAGCCAACATCTGGAGAAAAGCCAGCGTAGTCGAGTTTTTTCAACTGCAAAAAAAAAAAAATACTAGAAGATTACACCACGTCTTCATCATGTTGTCACATTTCTATTAGTTACAGAATTCTAATACCATCATTTCCGAGAGTGTCTTTCAGTGAAGCTCCTTTTGGCTACATAGTACTGCCATAAAACACAGTACCTATAAATAAACGTTATTTTTATGCTTACACACACGCAGAGGAAATTTCATTTATAGTTTAATACAATACTAGCTCTGCATGAATCACCATCTACTTTTCGACAATTCACTGCAGCTCAAGCCACAACTGATGCAAAAAACATGCATCAGGGCAAGTAATGTGGTGAATAATAGCCAGGAATAAAGCACTGTGTGAATCACTGATTCTGATAAGGTTTTGAAACTTACTTGTGAAAGATGGCTAACAGATATTTCACAAGCATGCAGACAATCCCATGCTAAGTCTAAAAACAGACATAGTACAGTTACAGAAGTGAAACATCACAACAAAGCTATGTCAGTTCAGTTAAGAGACTCTTTGTGCATTCAGAGAAGCAGCCCAGCCTCTCAGGAAGGCAGACCAGACTTGGATGCCATATACACACAGATGCACTCTTCCCGATTCCAGAGTAATCGTCATTACGTAGGAGAGGACATATAGCCTCAGGTGGGGGCTCTCACACTAATGAGACGTTAAGAATTTGGCTCTCTGTTACTGAACTATCTAGCCTCATGAACTATAATCCGATTACTTTTAAATAATAATTCCAGTCATACTGTAAAAGGATATTCTCTGATCTGCTCTACATCAGGCTTCCCCCAGATGAATGAACCCCTTGACTCATCTACCACAGGCTTCAGGTACGCCTCTGCCACTGCTGGATTTGGGAAACCTGAAGAAAGCTGCAGATCCCGCAGCTTCTTCTTGACTTTGGTATCATGTGGATTAGGTCTCAGTTTCTTATTCTTCTGAGCTTCAGTCCACCACTCACTGAAAAACAGAAAAGTTTTCATTTGTATCCATAAGATAAAATTTAGAATGTCAAGAGCTACCATGCTAACTAAAAAAGCCTTAATTAGATTTCCTATTTCAGTTATTGTATGAGACAAAGTAGGACATTTCCAAATAACATGACCTAAGGGGCATATAATTTAAAGGTAGAAAGGAGAAAACATACACAGTAAACATAGCCATATGGCAGTCACAGTAGCAAACATCACCTGGATTCCCCATGAGTAGCCAAACAGAAGGCCCTAAACTCAGTCTCACTTGAGAAGGATGCCCCACACATAATGATCATTTTTGGAGGATTTCTGAAACAAAAAATAACTTCCAACCATCCTTGCCACTGCCAATAAAATTAGCTTGGCGCTCTTCAAACCCCATTCCCCCCACAGCCTACCTGTCTGTCTCTTTCCAGGTCATCCACTGCTCACTCATCAAGTGTCTTTTCTCTATAAGCAAGCTAGAGCACCTTCTCACAAACTCGGGGAGAAACCACCTCCACTCCACTAGGGATCCAGCTCTGCAATGAACTCAGAGGCAGATGCACAGTTCTGAAGCTGTTCTATTGTCTTCACTAGTTTTGTTGTAATTGCTGTGTCAACACATCACCCTATTTATCTGCTGTTTCAAACAGTGATATAACGGAATCACATATTTTACAGTTCACTTAGTCTCCTTAATTTTGTCCATGTTTTGTTGCACGCTTAAGCAGTAGAAAAATATATTCACTAACATTCATAGTAAGGAAAAAAAACAAAAAAAAAATCAGACACAAGCATACGTGAATTTTAAGAGAGGTTCCAATCCATGACCAGGAAATTCATTTAAAATCTCCATTGCTGTTACAAAGCCAACATTTGGAATGCCTTCAGTGTAATCACTTCCAAGCAAGTATGCCAAATTAATTAACTTGCTTCGATCCAGCCCTGTGAAAGAAAGTCCATAAACCAAATAAACCTACTGAATTCAGCCTCTGTTCTCTTACAAATTAACAAAAGTCTATTATCTGAAAGACAAACAACAAAAGGAACATATAGGCATTAACTGTGTAAAATTACACTTTATTCAACGTCAGAATTTGCTAAATTACTTTCTGGAGCAGCATCAATATGCTATGCTAGTTCAAGCGCCAGTAACTGTACTAAAATATGCTAACTTGTGCAAATACAACGATGCCAAAATTAAAATGCTACCATATAGAAGTCCAGATTTCCCCAAACACCGGTCTCTGAAAGCTAAGAGATTAATTGACATATACTTCCGCTGTTAGCAGTCCAGTTCTCATCTAATGCTGACCTGAATTTAATAACTGCTCAATCAGAAATTAAAGCATTCCCCAGTCCTCAGGTTTGAACTCTAGTCCATAATATTCATGACTGTTTCTTAAAAGTGTTCCCAAACTGCCGGTCATTTGTTCTACGCTACTGTAGTTATAGATCAAAAGAGCCTATGAAACAACTTAGAAAAAAGGAAGAACCCAGCTGACCACTTCTACCCACTACATTGTAAGATATGAGGCAACTACACTGATTCTTAGGGACTGCCTTCAGGACCTCAGACCAAAAAATTATTTCAGGGGAGAAAAGAACGGTAGTGTGTCTAAACAGGCAAATCAAGACCATCTGAATGCTAGTAAGGATATCCACCAACTGTTAGGAAAGAAAAATTGTCCAATGTATGGAAAGGGAGTAAGTAGTAGTAACATACTACAGAAGGATATGACACCAAGACAGATGGTGAATTTTTTTTAAAACAAAATAAAGCAAAACAGCAGCACTGGTTTATTACCATAATAACAGCTAAAATCAAAGGAGCTTTTAGAATACTCCCCTCCATGTAAGTTTCACTGGTATACCCAAAATAAATTTAAAAGGTTTCATCCAGTTTGCTGGGAAGAGAAACTAAAGGCATGTAATTATTTTTTAATCCATAAAAATGAAATTTGTGAAATTCCATTTCACAAATTGTGAATGTGAAATCTGTTACTGTGAAATTTCACATGATAAAGGCATTAAAATACTGTTTCAAAGTCCATATCCCTACTTTGCTCAGAAATTTCAAAACTGATTTTATCAGTTCTGCCTAGGCAAAACATGACGAAAAAAGAGAATTTGCTTGCATTTTCCTTAATACGCTGCGTGACACTGAAGCTTAATAGTCCAACTAGCAACAATTTGATTAGATTAGAACAAGAACGAGAAAGTAGTAAAAATCTTGTCAATATTAAAAAAACACTTCTTCTACTTTCTACACAGTGTATAAACACACTGGATCCCTTTCTAATAGTATAAGTCAATATGTCCAAAATAAACTTCTATTTACAAAAAAATTACAATCTGATGACATTATCAGAATATAATACCATGTCAGAAAAGTCATACTGACATCTACCGAGAAACTGGTATCACAGTTCATATTTCCAGCCTTGATTATCATCACGCTAACTTAAGCGTATTAAACGCAGGTACGACTAGTAGCTGCAAGTTCAGATACTAAAACTGACAACCGAGTTGTATGTCCTCTGTAAAGAAATGGTATCGTCATAATGCTTACATGAAATTCCATAAGAAATTCATCTTCAAAAAGAAATAGGTAAAAGTTGTCTTATTGAAGAGTCTGTCTAATATACTAATATCTGAGCCTTACCTAGCTGGTTTTGAAAATCAACATACTGATAATATTCCACGTATTTGTTCTGACTGAAGAAATTTTTATAAACATGCCGTGCACCAAATAACCAAACATCACTGTCATCGGTGATTGTCCCAGAAGTCTGATCGGTAAGGTCCAAGATAGCACACTGTGCTTCTGCTTCCATTGGAGCTTCAATGTATGGAACGCCAAACAGACGGAGAAGCTCCTACAGGATGGAAGAAAACTATTTCATTTGAGAAGTAAGCTTCTAATATACTTCTGTTTGACTCAGAGCTGCTGGTTTCACACTTGGGAGGTGTTTAATCTTTCACAGCAAGTCTTAAATTTCCACTGAAAAGCACTAAACACTGTTAAGTTAAGGGGGAAATCTCACTTACTCATCTAAGGCAGATAACGCTATGTAAGTCGAGCACTGTTTGACCACGCTACTACTACTATTTGAGAATCTGCTCATCTCCATGAATTATGCTTTCCTTTTATTCTCCTGTTCCCAATTTAGATGTAATAACCACTGCAAAACCTAGATGTAAGGTTTTTATTTAAAAAATATATATATATATATAAAG